TGTAGCTTTGAGCACCATACAGGTGACAGAACGATTTAACTCGCTTTCACTCAATTTTGAGAGAGAACACCCTGGGGCGGTCAGGGGCCTCCCACCTCTCTTCCCCTTCCACCAACCTCACGAGAGGACTTGTGGCTCAACAGTTATTTAGAGTACCCCCAAACTGCGAAGGCACTAAACAATTTACAAACATCCATACCCTCTCCGGGATTCGAACCCAGGCCCTACTGCACAGCAATCAGCGTCGCTAACCACTATATCGGATGGGGGACATGAAAATTGTTATGAAAACGGATATCAGGATATCTTCATCAACCAAGACATTGGAGCTTGTACAATGTACATATATAGACAATCAGTAGCGCGCACAGGAATTTTTCAAGGGAGGTGTCCAGGGTTGAAAGTTCACCATTCTTGCATCACACTCCTTTTGATTTTGTCGATTTTCGGGAACAAAAAACACAGTAAAAAACTAATTATTGAGTAAATAATTAGCATTAATTAATAAAATTAATCATTAATAACAAATAATTAATTTAATTTCATGTACTATGTACTTAGAATTATAATCGGAAAAAAATCAAGGGTTTTGGGGGAGGGGTCCGGCCCCCCCGGCCCCCCCCCCTCCCCATCTTGTGCGCGCCACTATAGACAATGCATATCTCTTACGATGTGTATTTCTTGAAAGAATAAATATGCTGAATAATATAGGACCATCTAAATCTTACTTTGTAACAGTACTGAAATAATTCAGAAGATACCAGAACAAGAAAGCGATTGAAGAAAAGGCTCATAAATCAATATTCACTAAAATTAAATGTATATAAAAGTTTTTTTTAGCTTTCAATACAATTCACTAATAGTTCTAAGACTTCTGGGAATCCTTCTGGAGAGATCTAGTTGAAGAGACTTAAAGACTAGAATCAATTAGGGATGAGGAAAGTAAAAAGAAAAATGCACAGGAAATGAGGGTAATATGTTTTTCTTTAACTTACACATCATTGCATTTCTTTTTTCTTCTTCTTTTCTTTCCTTTAACCAAAAAGAAAAGTAATTTCCTTTGGTTTAACCTTTAAGGGAAATAGATAGACGGAGAAACACAATAGCATCCGCTTAGTAAAAATAAAAAAAAGAGTGTGTGCGTACTTATGTACGCACGTAAGAAGTTATACTTCTTTGGCGTAACAAGATTAAAATCTTTCTAAAAATCTTTAGCAGGGCAAGCTGAGCCAAGGACGAAAGGCGGTCACGAACAGAGTTGAACGATACTAACCTTCAGTCAATCGGACCAGCCAAACCTGAGATAATCACGATTTAAATACATTTAAACACCCCCGCTCAGGAACAATAGGACCAGTAATATGGGGAGGGGGTCGATGGTGGGAATGATCTGTCCCGTTCTGTATATTTCTAATCAAAGCATTTTCGTACCCGTTCCTACGGAACACAAAGCAAAGGTTCGCTGACTCGGATGTATTGCCCAGTGGTGGAGCATTCGACTGCAGATCGGGAGGTCCCCGGTTCAAACCCGGGCGTCCCCTTCTTCAGGGAAGTGAAGAGAAATATTTTTCTGAGAATTTCGAAGCCGGGAGTGATTTGTCCCGTTCTGTATATTTCTAATCAAAGCATTTTCGTATCCGTTCCTACGGAACACAAAGCTAAGGTTCGCTGACACGGATGTATAGCTCAGTGGTAGAGCATTCGACTGCAGATCGGGAGGTCCCCGGTTCAGACCTGGTTGTCCCCTTCTTCAGGGAAGTGAAGAGAAATATTTTTCTGAGAATTTCGAAGGCGGGAGTGATTTGTCCCTTTCTGTATATTTCTTGACAAAGGATTTTCGCATCCGTGACGGCGTGCGTCACATCCGTGACGGGGTGCACGCGCATTGTAAGAATTCACCCTCATCCTATTTCTCTAACGCCCCAAAAGAAGTATAACTTCAAAAATAAAAACTGTTATGTGAAATTAAATTTCAAATGAACAACATTTAACTTACCGTAAAATTCGACGTATACCTCGCACTTTTAACTCAAAAAATAAAATCGAAGTTTAGGGAGGCTCGTTATACGACGGGTATAAAAATGCTAGCCTCAAAAATAAACAAAGAGATTAGCATATAAAAAAATTAAGACTTCTACATAGATTGGAATACCATTTATTTAAAAGAAATGACACACATACCTATAATGAACTTATAGGGTTGTAATTCTAGAATACACTATTTTTTCATGCCTGGTATAATACCTCGAATCAACGACTTCAAAATATAAGAGCAGTGCACTTGTACAATTTAGGTTCCTCCGTAAAAAAAGGAGGTGAGCGTTGTACTCAGAATATACCTAATAACTATAACATGCAGTTAGAAAGTACATATAGCATTTTATGCACCAGTGCGCGTTATACGCCGGATTTTACGGTATCTTTGACACCTTAGTTTAGTTAGACCGTGGTTATATGAAAAAAACAATAACAATTCTTTTAATCAGAACATACCTATACGGAAAACGTATTCAATATCTCGGAGATCAGAAGAAAAATTATTAAAAAATAATTTCAAAATTAAATATTGCCACAAACGTGATGAATTTTTGAAGAAATGGGAAAAAGACTTAATTTTGGGGTTAGATGATTTTAGACTCAAAATGAAATTTTATTTTCCTACAAAATAAGTAACAAAAGCAATGGTTACTGATAAGTGAGTACTGAGAAGTGAATACCGTAATGCAGCGTTTCTCAAACTGTGGGGCTCACCCCCTAGGGGTGTGTGATAACCCTACGAGGGGTGCGCGAGTATATTTTAAAAGTCGAAAACAAAAGATTATTGAAACAGAAGTTATTAATTTACTGAAAGTAAACAAACAAAATACATTCTAACATAATAAAATATAAAATACACATTTGCACTCATAAAATACCCTCATAAATGTATCAGTACCGCACAATGTATTTTATAAATAATTTAACAATACTAAGTTAAGAATAAGTTTAATAATTACCAGCGTTCCCATGGGCTTGTCATACATAACAATTTCACAAAAATCAACACTTATCTTCATAATTTGTACGGTATATAGTTAACCCCGAAACGGCCGATTAAAAATTACGGGGTTCACTCTCCAATGTCACCGTTTTTCGTGTAGGTGCGTGTATGTGATGTATTGAGGGGGGGGGGGTATGAAAATGAATGAATAAATAAAACCTTCTATAAAATAAGTAAATCCTTCAAAACACTGTGTCAAAGTCCTTTTATTACATTCTAAGACCTTCGGAATAATTTTTAGGATAGTAGTGCACAGAGAAGATGGTATTTCGTGGAAAGACGTTATACGTCCGGGCATTGTGAGAGTGGGATGTTGTGGCAGAGTGAGATGTTTATATACGTCTGTGGAATTTAAAAGGCTAAAGTGGTATTGTAGTTTCAGCTTCAAGGTATAGTATTATCAAATTCAATACAGGGTTACTGTATGCAGGGGGGTGAGATGAAAATTATGATTGAATATTGAGCTGTAAACATTGAAAGTTTGAGAAGCACTGGTGTAATGTACATTGCAATATTTCCTAACCCCAGCTGTCTCTCCCCGTATTGTTGAATAAGTCCGATTCAAGCTTTTTTACAAGCTTTTATTTAACTTGCATTATAAGTTGTTCATTGCTTAAACTTGATTTGACTTTACTTAAACTTGTTTAAACTTTAATTGCTTGACCTTTTAAAGTAGGTAAAAATCGAATTACAAGAATCCAAAAGAATCTTTCAACTCGATTTTTACCAAAGTTAAAAGGTCAGATTAATTCAAAATTTTGCACACTTGTCAAGTTCGATGACGATACCATAATCGATTTTTTATATCATGAAAATTTACCAACTTGGGCCACGGTCGAACTTGCAAACTTAGGCCAGCGCCAAACTAACTACGCCACCCAGCCAGATTAAATTGTGCAAATATACTCAATATTTGATTAAAGAAAGTTAAATCTTCATTTATATTTTAATTAACTTCTGAATCTTAAAATATTTACGGTTTAAGTTTATATAATTTATGAGAAACCTGCTTAATATTTACTAATTTATTTGATATAAAATGTATGCAACTCCGAATAAAAGGGGAAGTACTTTATCAAAAAAAAATGTAAGAATTACTACCTAACTAAAAATACAAGAAATTATCAAGAAAAGAATTAAGAAAAGAAAATAAAAAGAGAAGAGAGGAAGAGACAGAAAATAAAAAAATTTCCTCGGACTGGGCAGGGTCAACTCAGCCTTTCATCCCTTCAGAGTTCGATAAATGAGTACCAAACTTGCTTGGGGTCTAAAACACTGGGGGTTTCGGTGCAGACTGACCGACAGAGCGTGACATCTGCTCACGCACCTCAGCACCCAATGTCACGTACACTGGATGGGCACAGTAGGTCTTGGCCCTCATAGGCTGTTTCGCCGCTGAATTTGAATTTATGTACTCGGTTTATATCAGATGATAATCTGGCCAGGTTTGGATTCATTTGCTGTTTTGCTTTTTTTAGTTTTTTATTGCAAAAAAAAAACCGAAAACATTTGTTTCTTTAATTGTTTTCACCAGTGTAGATATTTTACGCGCACACACAGTGCGAATTCATCAAAAATATTCCTGAAGTTATACTTATTTTGGGGCGTTAGAGAAATAGGATGAGAATAAATTTTAAAATGCGCGCGCACCCCGTCACGGATGTGAAAATCCTTTGTCAAGAAATATACAGAACGGGACAAATCATTCCCGCCTTCGAAATTCTCAGAAAAATATTTCTCTTCACTTCCCCGAAGAAGGGGACACCCGGGCTTGAACCGGGACCTCCTGATCTGCAGTCGAATGCTCTACCACAGAGCTATACACCCGCGTCAGCGAACCTTTGCTTTGTGTTCCGTAGAAACGTATACGAAAATGCTTTGATTAGAAATATGCAGAATGGGACAGATCATTCCCACCTTCGAATTCTCAAAGAAATATTTCTCTTCACTTCCCTGAAAAAGGGAGCATTCGGGTTTGAACCGGGGATCTCTCGATCTGCAGTCGAATGCTCTACCACTGAGCGATACCCCCGCGACAGCGAAACTTTGCTTTGCGTTCCCTAGGAACGGATACGAAAATGCTTTGTCTAGAAATATGCAGAACGGGACAGATCATTCCCGCCTCCGACCCCCTCTCCATATTATTGGTCCTATTGTTCCCGAGCGGGGGTGTTTAAATTTATTTAAATCGTGATTATCTCGGGTTTGGCTGGTCCGATTGACTGAAGGTTAATATCGCTCAACTCTCCTCGTGACCGCCTTTCGTCCTTGGCCCAGCTTGTTCTGCTAAAGATTTTTAGAAAGATTTTAATCTTGTTACGCCAAAGAAGTATAACTTCTTACGTGCGTACATATAAGTACACACACACACTTTTTTTTATAATATATATACTTCAATAAACCATTAAACATTCAAATAACCATTATAAGACCTTTCCTGTATTTCACTGAAAACTTTCCTTCTTCAGTTTTTTTTTCCTTTCCTTTCCTTTTTTTCCTTTTTTAGACAATTTATGCAACTGTGAGAAAGAATTCTGAAGAAAAAAACATGTATGCATCACAAAAATGCATGTAAAATAATAAAGGTCAAAAATAAAATTCAAGTTTTAAAAGTATTAAATTAAATTCAACCACATAAACAAAAATGTCAAATAAGCAATATATACAAAAAAAATCTAAGGAGGAATCAAAGGGGAAAAGATTAGAGAATATTTTTCTTATCATCTTATTTTTACAAATTGTCTTACTTAACCGAGAAGCAACCTAAAAATAAACTACTTCCGAAAGTAATGACATAATTTTATAACATTTTAAAAAAAGAATAACATAATTTGAATTTTCAACCGCAATGCTTTTAATGCATTAATGGTTAAGTGGCACTTTAAAGTAAAACTACATGTACTTTATTTTAAGAAATAAAATAAAATGAATATTTTGTTTTTGTGTCGATAAATTATTCATTTCGCTTATGAAGTAACATACGAATAATATGAATAAAGCAAAATTTTTCAATAAAAATAAATTTGCTTGAAAGTGAATTTTGTTTCAATCATCTTTTAGTATAATGAGGATAAAAATGAAAATGTTAACATGTCTCTTTCCCCCTCCCCCTTTATTCATTATTCACTGAAGTTCACGAAAGTGAAATTTGACATTTGCAATATCTTAAATTTCGCAACTTTCAGAATATTATTTTTATTTATTTAGTTACTCTTAAACAATTTTTCTTGCATACATACATTTAAAAGAACGTATAGTAAAAAATTTTTTGAAAAACTCCTGCTTACTTTTAAAATTTTATTACTGTTTCTTACCTTATGGATAATGTAGAATTGATTCATCATTGAAAGAGAGGCTTTAAATTTGATTCTCTCCTAAATATAAAGTTTTGTCTTCCATATTTCTAGATTGCTTATACAAATAAATTGAAGGACAATTTGAAATTAGTTCTTCGGGAAATATTTTGATATAAATTTCACACATAATTTATAAATAGTCAAAAATTCCGATTGCATCTGGAGTGTTTTCAACGGAGTATTTATTTATCAAACGGATCAAATTAATTTCTTATTTTAAAATACAATTTCTTAACAAAACTATTTCAGAAACATTTTGAGAAATTGCTGTTCGCTTAAATAATAGCGGGACGTCTTCATTGATGTGAACCCCATCCGCCAATTCATCTGAAATCATATCCACCCATCACCAAACAGATGTTGGGATGAAGGGCAGGTGGCCATGGGGTTTTTTTTTCTGGCCTCGACCAGCCAGACATCTGGTCTGAATATACAATGGCAAAGGAATGCGATGTCAATAGGCATTTTTTTAAAATTTTGAATAGAAGTCAGGAAATTGAAGGGGGGTTGTGAAGCCCGGTGTGAGATGAATAGAGTTATGGCGCCCTTGGTTTCGGGGGGGGTTAAATTGTTCGTTTTTTTCCGCGTGAGGGACCGGGGGCCCGGGGGCTGGGGCAGACCTATTTTGACCTGCCAATGGGGAAGACGAGGGCAGACCCTTTCTATTTTACGCCAATGAGGGGGGAAAGGGGGCGCGGGTGGACCCGCCCCGGGGTTTTAAAAAAGGGGGGAATTTTGGGGGGAAAAACGGAGGGAAGCGATCGGACGAAAGAAAACCGGGAGCGACGGACGGAGCGGGGACTTGGAAAATAGAGCCATGGGTAAACGGGGCCCGGAAAAAGTATGGACTTTTCCCCCGTAGTGTGCCCCCCCTTTGGCCTATTTAATGAATATTTTTTGAAGTATTAAAATTTCTATTTAAATATTTTAAAAAGTATGGCTGTAAAATTTTTTTGTGTACGAATGACTGACGACGTTACAGCTTATAAATATATATATTTAAATTGGTGGCGGGGGGATCCGGCATTTAAGGAATAGATCCCCGAATCCATAGTTTTATGGAAAAGAGTAAAAAACGGCCAGCCTTTTGGGAATGTGATGTGATAAATTTTAATGCCCGCCAATTTGGGAGCCCCGACTTCGGGGTTTCATTGCCGTATGAGATTTTTCCGGAGTCCCCAGCTGGGAAAAAGAGCCGGATAAAGTGTCTCCTGTTCCCCTGATGAATCAACGAAATTGAAGAATTCCCCCGTGTGTTTTGGGGGACGTTTTAAGAGCCCCCAGTTTTAAAGGGCCCCTTTGTCAGTTTGTGATGATGCTTTTTTTTGGGGATTTGTTTTAAAGAGAGTTCCTGAGTGTTCCTATTTTACTCTAAAAAATTTTAAGGTGAGTTTTTTCTTTGAGATTATTTTCGACAGCAACTGAGTATTTTTTTTTGTTTTAAAAGGGAGATAAGGAATAAAAAAAAGACTAGGTAAATTTAGTAAACAATAAAATTAGAAAGTTTTTTGAGTTTTGTATGAAGTGAAAATGTGCGTTATTGGTTTTTTTGTTTGAGTTGTGAAAGTTAGTATATAGTAGTTATACTTGGTTTGGCTAATTGTGTAGGGTATTGTTTGGTTGATTTGTAAAATTAAGATACAGTAATACTTGTGTTTGGTACAATATTGTGTGGATATTGTTGTGGTTTTAGATTTGTGAAATTTAGTATACAGTAGTTATACTAGTTGTTTTTAAAATTGTGTGGGGGTATTGTTGAGTTTATAGATTTGTGAAAGTTGAAAAGAGTTATACTTGTTGTGTAGGTACAAGGTTGAGCAGGTTATTGTTTTGGGTTTTTAGATTTGCGCACATTTGTAAAATATAGTTAAATCTATGTCTAGTGTATTGTTAGTTTACCTTAGTCTGTGTATTTTTTTGTAACGATTAAGTTTAGATTTGGGTTTGTGTTGTGCATCATGGCGTTTCTTTTAAAGAGAAAGAAAAAGAATTTTAGAAGTTGGAAAAATTTGGGGTAATTTGATTTCTTTAACTGGGATGGAAATTTATAAGAGAATTTGTCAAAGTAAATACTATACGATGAAGCAGCAAATATTTGTTAGAGGGTATTTTGGGGGAAACCCGGAAGAAAGCAAAAACAGGAAATTAAGGAACGGGAAATTGGGAATTTGAAAAGCGTAGACTAGCTGGGGAATTTGAGTTAGAAAGACTAAGAGCCAACACAGAAATAAGTTAAACGAAATGAATTGAAGTCAGGAATAGGACTAAAATCTCGCAAATGTTTTTGTGTGTCGAAAACGTACCGCAGAAGTTAGTGAACCGGTTAATAAGTGTGGGCCCTTTTAATTAATTCGGTAGTTAATGCGGGGAGAACCCATGTCTGGTTTTGAAAAAAATTTTTCCCCCCCAGTGAAAGGACGAACGTTTTCCCTTCTGAAGTAAGAGGGATGGGAACAAAAAGGTGTTTTATGGTTAAAAAGGGAAAAAGAAATAAAGGGATAGAATTTATTGTGTAGGGAAGGGGCCACTTGCAGGGGGAAGTGTCAATCAAGCTTTGTGTGCAAAAGGGGAATAAATTTAATGAAATAGGGCTGATTCTTTGAATTGATAGAAGAAAGGGGGGTAGAACCCCCCAAATTTTGAGTTGTGATAGGGGGAAAGCGAGAAAGGAATACCAGTATGACGTTAATGGGTGGTGAGCAGCAGTTAACAGTGAATCATGAAGATATTCGAATCTATAATGGCTGAGATAGCAGGGCAGAAAAAAGGAAAAAAAAAACGTGTAAAATGATTTTGGGGAGGTTTGAGAAGTGAGTTAACAATGGGTTTTAGAACCAAAAGAGTTTGATAGGAACGTTTTGAGACGGATAAAAGGTCTAGCTTTAGTTCAGAATTTAAGTTCGAGATAATTTTCCAAAAAAAAGATCGAGTATCTTTATCGTCTCAATTTAAAAAATTACCGTAAAAGCCAATTTGGTTTTGGAAAAATAGCTCGAAGGGAATAGGAAAGATTCCGAAATTTCTATTCGGTAAAGCTATTTATGGGTTTTCATTTCAGGGGGTTTTAAGGAAAGTCAACTGTATTTTTAAAATTTCCGCCTGATCGAAGTCTTTTAAAAATGATTAACACTAAAAAGAAAGAAAGGTTTCTTTTCATTCCTGGGATGATTTTTTTAAAGGGGAAGGATAGTAGTTTAAATACGGGAAAGCCTTTAAAATTAAAACTTTTTGTACATCCCAGATGTTAATTATTCCTAAAAGTAAAGGGATCTTTTTGGGTTTAGATGTAAAAAGGGGAGTCGAACTCTGCCCGTTGTTTGGTTAGAAAAAGTGAGCCGATACCCTTTTCCACGTATTAAATGTAATAAGTTTAGGGAAATTTTAACCAGGTGACGCGAGCCGAAATTTATCTTTTTTTAAATATGGAGGGTTTTGTAGAAAAAATAGGGGGTATCGTGGGTCACTGTACTGGATTTGTGGAAGTGGTATTTTTGTCGTTCTCTCATGATGAGTTATCCGAATTTCGCATGCATATTTGGCATGTACATTATTAAGAAAGGGAGGTTTAAGTTTGTATGCGCTTCTTCTTATGGATTAATTTTAAACACGGGGTTTTGAGATGGCTAGAGCAGATTGATGTATCACGAATGGTCGATATAGACATTCTGATGCAGAT